GTTATGCTTAACCAGCTACATGTTTAAAAATAAATGGTTTAAATCCTTCTGAAGGGCAAAAAGTTTCCATGACCCTTCTCCTTGAATTCTTATTTTCATTACACATAACCACAACATTTATTACATTTAGAGGCTCTTATTTTTGATTATCTTGTCATTTGTTATGACAAACTATGAACTAAAATTTAAGTTTTACTCCCTGTAATCATAAGGTAATGTTCAACTTATTCTTCTGTATTTAGCTATCATTTAAGTAATGTGAAGCTGTTCAAAGAAACACAAGTATCGTACAAATGTTGATAGTCACTAGACATAAAATTATAATTTTATTGAAAATGTATTTCTTAAGATATAAATGGGGCTTTTATTCCAACTAGTTATTATATTCATTATGAATACTGAGTAATATTCAGGAAGAAAAGTCATCATCAATTATATTTTCATTTTAATAAAAGTAAATGGTAAGAAATAATATTATATCTGTAAGATGCTATTGTCAATTCATTCAGAACTTTTAAGTCAAATTGTCATATAATACATTTTTCATAAAATAAAATTTTTAACAGTCTGTCATCTGGCAACTAGACTGGGTTGGCATCAAACATTAACGAGGGTGAAGTATCAGAAACTATGCATATATTTATTACTAGAGCTCTGTAATAGTGCTTGAGATCAGGGATGTTAATACCTCTGGAAGTTCTTTTATTGTACAGGATTATTTTAGCTATTCTGGGTTTTTTCATTTTTCCATACAAAGTTGAGCATTGTTCTTTTAAGGCCTATAAAAATTGTGTGGGAATTTTGATGGGGATTCCATTGAATCTGTAGATTGCTTTTCATAGGATGGACATTTTTATTGTTAATCTTACCTATCCATGAGCGTGGGAGCTCTTTCCATCTTCTGATTGGGAGGAATGGAGGGAGGGGATACTGTGGTTGGAATGTACCACGTGAGAAAAGAATAAATAAGGATTTAGAAACCATCTGACCTAGAAACAATTTGTTGAGGCTAAACAAAATGACTCAGTGGGTAAGGATTTTGCCATACAGGCATGAGAACCTGGGTTTAATATCCAACACCTGAATGAAAGTCTCAATGGTGTGTACTAGAAATGGGGAGACCAAAACAGGAGGATCTCCGGGGCTTGCTATCCAGCCAACATAGCCAAATCAGACAGTTCTAGGGCCCAGAAAGACTTTGATCTCAAAAAATAAGGTGATCGAGGAGGACACCAAACATCAACCTCTACTCTCCACATGCATATACAGATGTCCACACGTAACATATACACACACACATACAGAGAGAGAGAGAGACTGAGACAGAGAGACAGAGAGAAACAGAAAACAAAATAAAAGGATTTGTTATCTAGTATCAGTCATTTGGTTTCTCGCTATATGGAAATGATGTTGTGGTGGGTAGTGTCAGAGATGAACCTCTTGACTACCACTTCCTCACACAATTTTCCTTCCCAGCACGGGCTGGACCTAAGGATCCACTTTTGAGATGTACAGTATGGTGACTACAAGTAATAATACTAGATTGGATGTTTAAAGTCACTGAGAGTACATCTTCAATATTCTCTCTTAGATGTATGAAGTGAGAGGTATATTAATTCAATTAATTAACTCATTTAACAGTGCATATGTATATCAAATATGCTGCACACTATAGAAAGATGCAATATTTAATTGGCAATATACACTTCAACATCTGGGTATAACTGAGAAAAAAGAATTTGCAACATTAGGCTATGAACATACTGGCTTTTTTTCTTCTCTCACTGGTTAAAGACATTTAAATGCTATGAGCTGCCCTGGAATATATAACAGGGAACAGAGAATTGTCCAGTCAATAACCAACAAGCAACTAAGTCCCTCAGCCCAATAGACAATGAAATAGAAAACTCTGCCAACAACTATGCAAGTGAGCAAGATGAAGCCTATCAGCCATCACTTCACACCACTAAAATCAAGGTTTTTGGCTGAACTTTCCAAAGGCTCTAGCAGAAAATCCATGTCCATGTATCTTTTTCAGCCTCTAGAAACTTCTTGAATTCTTTGAATAACACCACCCTTCCACCTTGAAAGGCAAGAATAGCTAGCCGAGTCTCTCTTATCATATAAATTCCTCTCTCTCTCTCTCTCTCTCTCTCTCTCTCTCTCTCTCTCTCTCTCTCTCGTGTGTGTGTGTGTGTGTGTGTGTGTGTGTGTGTGTGTGTCTTCTTTCACTAAAAAGCAACCTTGTGATTATACTTGGTCCACCTAGATAATCTAGGGGGGAAAAAAATCTCTTCAAGTGTCATCTAAGTAGTAGCCTTAATTTCAAGGTATCTTTAATTTTCCCTTTTCTTGTGCTAAAGCATATTCACAGTTTCCAAAGATTAGATTGGGGCATCTTAAATGCTCTCATCACAATTGTTGACTATATGAAGTGATGGATGTGGTAACTATTTTAAATAAATCATTTCACAATGCATACATACATCAAAACATTATGCTGTACTCCAGGAAAATATAGAACTTCTATTTGTTAGACTTTTGAAAGCTGATTTGAAGCTGGGTGTGGAGATGCTTGTCTTTAATCCTAACACCAGAAGGGAGAGTCAGGAATACCTCTATGAGTTCAAGGATAGCATAGTTGACATAGAGAGTTCCAGAGCAGCTAGGGCTATTGAGTGCAGTCATTTTGTTGTTGTTGTTGTTTTGTTTGTTCGTTTTACTCTTTACTCTGAAGGGTGCCTGCCACTCAGCTCACAAATAATCACACAGAGACATTCTTTTTTATGAATGTCTGGCCTTAGTTTGGCTTGTTTTCAGTCAGCTTCTACCTTTTACCTTTGGGCCTTTGTCTTTCTGTATTCCATATACCTTTCTTTACTTCTTCCTCTGTGGCTTGCTGTGTGGCTGGCTGGCCTTTGGTGGCCTCCTCTCCTTCTCCTTCTCTCACTCCTCATCTTCTCTTCCCAGATCTCTCCTCCTATTTACTCTCTCTGCCTGCCAGTCCCACCAATCCTTTCTCCTGCCTAGCTATTGGCTGTTCAGCTCTTTACTAGACTATCAGATGTTTTAGACAGGCAAGGTAACACAGTTTTAGAGGGTTAAACAATTGCAACATAAAAGAATAAAGCACATCTTTGCATCTTTAAACAAATGTTTCATAGCATAAACAAATGTAACAAATTTTAACTAATAGTACACCACAAGTGAGCCCTCATCTCAAAAAAAAAAAAAAAAAGGTTGAGTTTAAAGAAGTCATCATTCCATATACCAGACAAATCGTGTTTTTTGTCTTGTTTTGTTTTGGTGGGAATGCTAGAATGCCAGGCCTTAAGAAGTTGAGTATGTATGTTACTGAGCTATACCCCAAGCCCCACAATAGCAAGTCTTTATCTAAAATTATTTTAAGATGAAAGTTAATGGATATGAATCATCAATTACAAACTATCATGGCCCTTGAAATAAATAACGATTTACATAATGCTCAAATGGAAAGGCCTTAAATTATTTTTTGAATATTCCATAGTTGCAAATATCATGACATTTTGCTGGAAAATGCTGTGGCACATATTCTATTGCCATAACACAGCTGAGATGTTTAACCCTGGTAATTACTAACTTAGAGTTCCTCTTTGTCAGAGTTCTCTTTCTATCTCAAGCATGCCCTTTACAGATAAATAGGAATCACTCATTGCATTTGACCGTCATAATGTTTTAAACTCAAAGTCACGCTGCCTTTTTGCCGTTAATAGCACGGATCATCCATCCCCCAGCCTTGAAAGCAAGCAGTCCATGGTATATGTAAAACAACATCCTGGAAGCCACTGGATGGGGTGGAATAGGTTTGAGATTCCTGCCCACACTCTTCAGCTAGTCCATTTGACCTGTCCATCAGCTCCTTGGAAAATATCTATGTACAGAGATTTTGTTTTTTACATTCATTATTTAATGGAGAGAGAGAGAGGTGTCTATGTGTGTATGCACACACATGTGCAAGAGCACATGCACACATTCTACAACATTCATGTGACTGTCACCTTGAAGCTGGTTGTAAAATGCAATAGTGGGAATTTGGTTTGGGGAAAAATGACATACATATAAATACCTTGCTGCCCTAAAGAACTAAGAGAAGAAACTTCATTTGGAGATGGAAAAAAAAAAAACCTTTTTTTTTTTCTTTGTTTGCTCATGGCTTTAGATGGTGAATAAAAAAAAAATATACAGTTCTCTCATGACCCTCCCAAAAATTCAAACTAAAAAACTTCCTTAACTCCATCTCCACCTCTTCAAAATAATCATGATTTATAGTTTAGTGTTATGTACCAGCCTAGAGCATGTAAATATATAATTTTTCCAGTTGAATTAAGTGATATCTTTGTACACAATACGTGTTTTTTTTATACTCAGGGTCTTTAACAGATGCACATATTCATATATAATCTATACATAATGTGTGACCTTTATTTTAGTTAAATTGTATGCCATTTTGTTATTGGGGCATCATTTATTTAAATAGCTTTATACTATTGGATATTTAGGTTGTTTACAGTCATCTGTCATGACTATACTATAGTGAAGAGCTCTATGTATAATCTTCCTGCAATCCCCTCCATTTCTGTCTCCCTTTACTCTCCCCCCCTGGACCCACGGTTTCATACATGCTAATCAAGTGCTAACACCAAGTCACACTCCTACCACCTTTTCTTGTATTTTCAGGTAGGCTCTTACTATCTAGCTCAGGACAGTCTCAAAGTCATGATCCTCCTGCCTCAACTTCCTGAGTAACTGGGTTTAGAGGCATGCACCACCAAACCCAGTAAGACTTATGTCTCAAAAATGGATTGCTGTATTGAAGTAATTTGCACTTGTAGGGTATATGTTGAATTTATATAGCTACTGCCAGGTTGCCCTCTATAGAAGCAACTACAGGGGCTAAATTGAGACACAGCTGTATTTTCCAGTTTCCTGTCTCTCCCACCTGGTACTTGTGTCTTTCATAGGATCATGCTGACATTGAGTGGAAGTTTGCAAGAACGAAGCTCTGGATGAGTTATTTTGATGAAGGTGGTACCTTGCCACCTCCTTTCAACATTATTCCCAGCCCCAAATCATTCCTTTATCTTGGCAACTGGTTCAACAACACCTTCTGTCCCAAAAGAGACCCTGATGGAAGACGAAGGAGGCACAACTTGAGAAGCTTCACAGTAAGAACCCACCCCCCAAAAAAAATCCATCTCTCTTTACACAAAACTGTTTTCCTCCTTTCCCCTTTCCTTTCTTCAGGACAGTTCCTATCTTTAATATTGTAAAAAACCGTTCCAAAGAATGCTCTTGCTATCTGTCGATCAGAAGCCACTGTATCATTCTATAATCCTAATATTTACCAGATCCTTGGGGTGGGTGAATGGGTAGGGTGCTGGCCAACTCATGTAACCTCTCTGTCCATTTTGAATTACAGGAACGCCATGCTGATAGCCTGATACAAAATCAACATTATCAGGTACTGCTTACCCATTGAGGCTAAACACAATAGTTGTTGGACAGTTCTGTGGAATAGGAAAGCAAATTCTGCTCTAGATATGTGTGGACTTAACTTAGCTAGGAGCCCTTAAAAGACTTAAGTCACTCAAGATGGAAGTAATTCATCAGGATGGAGTCAGCTGCTCTATAACCCTGTTCAAATCCTTTTAAAACTATCTCGTTTGGATGTAAGCCACTATACCTTAGAAAGCTATCTTCCTTGAGATTAAGTAGAGGATATGTAGTTGCTCAGTCAATGAACACATGAGTGCCTATTGCATACCAGACATTAAAACACACATTAGAGAAATCATTGTGGAAAAGCAAGGTATAATCTTTGTACACCTTAGAAACTTATTACCTATCAGAAATGGAAAATATTACATCATTAAAACTAATAGAATTAACTGATTAGAAGGGTAAAAGTTGCTGTGAACAAAAAGCACATACAGCAATGGGAATACATAATAAGTAGCAAATACAAAATAAGAGGAAGTTATTAGTAACTTCAGTGAAGTAAAATCTTACATCAGGGCGCAGGTCTTTCTAAATTATACACATGGCTTTAATCAAAAGAGCAGATATGTGCTTCTTATGGGACCAGGCAGAAGACAGACAAGCACACAAATATGTGAGATACTTACTAAAAGTAACCTTTGAAAATCACAGAAATAGACTATATATAACCTTCTAGATCAAAAGAAATGCGGAGTCAGGAATATATCTACTAGAGAGCTTGCCTACCATACCTGAGGCCCTGAGTATGATCTCCAAAACCATATAAACTGAATGGGATGGAGGCAAGAGGATCAGAAGTTCAAGGTTGTTAGTAATAAGTAATACTGTAGCTACTACTGCTATCCTGCTATCCTCAACTAAGGAACAACTTCATAGACCAGCTTGGGTTACATGGACTTTGTCTTAAGAAACCCAGACAGGAAAATATACTACAAGGTTTTTTGTTTATTTGGTTTTTGGTCTTTCAAGACAGGGTTTCTCTGTATTGTTTTGGAGCCTGTCCTGGAACTAGCTCTGTAGATCAGGCTGGCCTAGAACTCACAGAGATCCACCTTCCTCTGCCTCCTGAGTGATGCGATTAAAAGTGTGCACCACCAAGGCGTAGCTAACTACGAGGTTTAAAGGAAAGGAAACGTAACTGTATTTCACAAATGGATTCCCTAATCTTGTTCCACTTAGGTGTAAATAATAATGAGTACAGTATTTCAGAGGTAACTCTTCCCTCGCTACACCCACCTCCAACTCCAATAGTTTTAGAAGACAGTGAAACCGAGGCAAGATTCATCACCTCTTTTTCTGTTTCAAACACCCTAACAAAAGGGAGAGACACTCCCTGGGCATCTCAGTGACTTCTTGAAGTTCATGGGGTAGCAAAAGTAGTCGCTACGGCATTAGTAACTATTACTATAGGCTTTGGAATCAGCTTGAAGTAGAACTGAAATCTCATTTTACATGTCCTGGCAGTGTGACCCTGAAGAAAACAGTTAACAACACTAAGCCTCAGCTTCTTCATGTGTAAAACAAGAGTAATAATAAAAGTGAAGTTACAGTGTTGGGAAATTCAGTGAGGATGGTGTCTGACACATTGCAGTAAGTTACAGCCATTATCAATACCAACCTTGTAACCATGTGTGTTCCATGACCCCTGAGGCTAATAGAGGCATTCCATATAAAGGTAAAGTGTAGGTTGATTTCTTGAAAAATGTCTTTATTACAAAATTACTAGCTCATGATGGGTGGTGATGGTGTACACGTTTAATCCTGGCACTTGGGAGGCAGAGGCAGGAAGATCTCTGTGAGCTCCAGGCCAGCCTGGTCTACAAAATGAGTTAGTTCCAGGATAGACAGAGCTACACAGAGAGACACTGTCTTGAAAAACAAACAAAACAAACAAACAAGAATACTAGCTCACTAAGTGACTCTCAACTTCATGATGAGAAAAATCCCTTATTTCTCTAAAAGTACTAAAGTTTAATCCAGTCTATAGAAATGGATATTGAATAGGAAGGAGCATTCACACACACACACACACACACACACACACAGAGAGAGAGAGAGAGAGAGAGAGAGAGAGAGAGAGAGATACATGCTTACCTAATGCTTGAGTAGAAATTCTTCCTTTGGGGTAAAATTAATGGTGCTGGCACACTGTCACTAAAATTAAGAGATGCAATGGCTTATTAACCCAGTGAATTTAAGTTTTTTTGGCAGAAAATCTCTAGATACTGTGAAGATTTCCTATTGCAAAGATGAGTTTTCTGAGAAAGTTCCTTGTTTACCCAATAGTCTGAAAAGGAAACTGAATACCTCTTTGTGGTTTTTCAATTCCAGGAAGTTATCAGAAATTTAGTCAAGAGATATGTGGCTGCAATGATAAGAAACTCCAAAACAAATGAGGGACTAACAGAAGAAAACTTTAAGGTAATTTAATCATGAAGAGGGTAAAACACTCTCTCTTTCTCTCTCTCTCTCCCACTCTCTCTCCCTCCCTCTCTCCCCCTCCCCCTCTCCTTCTCCCTCTTTCTTTGAGTGTTTTCCCCTGGTAACAGAGCCTACAGTCAAGCTCTAATTTTCATTTCTTGGTATAGTTTAATCTTCATAGAGTCTGAGAATTCTTACTGGAATTCCATCCTACCTATAGTGCCGAAAAAAATCAATTACAATTCTTATTCTTGTAAAAAAAATTATTCTTTATAAAGTTTTAAAAAAAATGTTTGCGTTTATCTTTGTTTTGTGTATATGGGTGCTTTGCCTGCATGTCTGTTATCTGCAGGAGTCAGAGATTCCCCTGGGAGTGAGTTACAGGTGGTTGTGAGCCACCATGCTGGTAGTGGGAACTGAACTCAGGTCCTGTGGAAGGGCATGGTTCTCTTAACCACTAAGCCATCACTCTAGCCCCTATACCTCTAACTCTCTTTTAGGATTATTTGTCATCCAGTATATGGACAGAAAGTTTTCCTTTTCTAAAAACAATGCTGCTTGTAATTGACATAGACTCTCCCTTCCTTCCTTCCTCCTGCTCCTCCCAGCTTCACTCCCTCGCATCTCTCTCCCATATCCCCCAACTCTCAAGATGATAGCTTCTGTTTGATTTTTTCTTTCATACGTGTGTTTGCATTTATATGGTTTCAGGGCTGACCACTTTGCCTTGGACAAGCAATTAGGGGACTTATCCCTGGAAGAGGTTCATCCTCCTCCCAGCAGTCACTATTGCCTATAATTCTTTGTCTCGGGGTGGGGACCCATGGAATTTTGGGTTGAGAGGTTTTAATCAATTTAATTTAATCAATTTAATCAATGTCTGTCGCAATCAGTTTTATGACCAAAATGAACCCATCCTACATATCCTTTCCTTTGATATTATCAGTGTGAGAATAATACTTAACTTATACAGCACCAATACATGGTAAGGGGTAAGGCAGCAAACCCAAAATGCCTGGAGATCTTTAAGACCTTCTTTAAAAGATGGACAATAAAGTCTAAGATATATACTATTAAATTTCAAGCCTAAAGAAACAACAATAAAACAGAAGAACTTTCCCACTGTTGGTATCCGCCTAAAAGAATGATTCTCACACCGGGACATTTATATACTTAGGGCACATTTGGCTATCTGGAAATGTTATCATACTGGCATCTAGTGGGTACAAAGAGGGTTGCTACTAACCATCCCACAATTAACAAGATAGCTTTCCATCATAAAAAAATAAAAATAAAAATCTATTCTGCCAGACATTAGTAGAGCCTAGAATAAGAAACCATATCCCAGGATGTATGAAGTATGCACACAGACACACAGTAACACACCCCTGTAAGGCACACAGAAATTCTTATCTTAATTCACAAACGGACCTTATCTCTTGAAGACTGATGAGCCAATTGCTTTACTAAGCTGTTATTGTGTGTCAGTCCATGGGTGTAGGAGCAGCTGGAGGATGAGGAAGTTGGAAGAAAGGAAAATAGAGATGGAGAGGTACCAGGTACAGAAAAGCCCTGTAGTTCATGATACAACATTTATAGTGTTTCCTAAGACAAAGATGTTACAGGAGGGTGACATGATCAGAATTAAGTTTTGAAAACTTGTCTTGTTCACTATGGGAGCACATTCCCCATGAAGGGCTACTTTCTCAGCCCAGATACACAGAGGAGGGCCTAGGTCCTATTCCAAATTATGTGACAGACTTTAATGATCCCCCATGGAAGGCCTCACCCTCCTTGGGGAACGAATGGGTGAGGATGGAAGGGGTCAGTGGGGGACATGGGAGGATAGGAGGGAGAGGGAACCGGGGTGGATATGTAAGATAAGATTGTTTCTAAATTTAAAAAAAAAAACGAATAAATAAATAAATAAAAGAAAATCAGAGCAGCTGGATAGAAGGCAAGTCATATGTGCTTGAATGACCCTGGTACTCTATCCCAAAGCAGCAATCTCATCACCTGATACTTCATTTCTTCAGTTTCCTTCCTGGGTCCTAAAGGTCTTTTCTTCTTCAGCTGTCCTTTTACTGACTTACACTCATGAGAGCCAGTACTCTAATCAAATAGCTTGAGTGTGAGGGTGTTTTGTCTCTATGCATATTTGCCTGCATATACATATGTTCACCATGTGTGTGCCTGGTGCAGGTAAAGGCCAGAACAGGGTGTCAGATCCCCTGGAACTGGAGTTACAGACAGTTGTGAGATGCTATGTTGGGTGCATCTTGGAGAGGAGGCAGTGCTCCTAACTGCTAAGCCATTTCTCTAGCCCAGTTATCACTTTATTAGGAATTAGTTTCTGTTCCTTGTCCACATGTCCTGAAATCAATCTTGCCCATTGCAGTTTCCCAGTGGCCACAGAATACTCTTTCTGTGCTTGGCTAATGAAACCTTTTTAAAGTACAATGTCTGCTTCCTGATTTACTACTATGTAAACCTTAGCCTATCCAAAACTCCAAGTGTCTTCTTTAAACTGAAGACGATTTTTCTGACAAAGCCTTATCTCCTTTCTTTTGCTAGGAATTAAAGCAGGACATCTCCAGCTTCCGATATGAAGTGCTTGACCTCTTGGGAAACAGGAAGCATCCAAGAAGAAGCCTATCCACTAGCAGTGCTGAATTTTCTCAAAGGGATGATACCAATGATGGCAGTGGTGGGGCTCGGGCCAAATCTAAGAGTGTCTCTTTCAATTTAGGCTGCAAGAAAAAGGCCTGCCATGGCGCACCTCTCATCAGAACCATGCCAAGAGCCAGTGGAGCTCAAGGAAAGTCGAAAGCTGAGTCATCAAGCAAACGGTCCTTCATGGGTCCCTCTTTTAAGAAACTGGGTCTCCTATTCTCCAAGTTTAACGGTCATAACTCCGAACCTCCCTCAGAGCCAATGTACACAATCTCCGATGGAATCGCACAGCAGCATTATATGTGGCAGGACATCAGATATTCTCAGATGGAGAAAGGGAAGGCAGAGGCCTGTTCTCAAAGTGAAATGAACCTCAGTGAGGTAGAGTTAGGTGAAATTCGGGGTGCTGCTCGGAGCAGTGAATGCCCCCTAGCCTGTTCCAGCTCTCTTCACTGTGCATCCGGCATCTGCTCCTCAAATTCTAAACTTTTAGACTCATCTGAGGATGTATTTGAAACTTGGGGAGAGGCTTGTGACTTGCTCATGCACAAATGGGGTGATGGACAGGAAGAACAAGTTACAACTCGGCTCTAAATCAAATCCCCATCATCTGTTCTGGAATTCAAGAGAAAATTTGTAATTTCCTCATTCTCAGAGGTGACCCCAGATATGGCTCCCTCATGGTCCCCCCTTCCAAAGGAGTGAAGCTCCTATTATTTTCAGTCTTTTATAGCCACATTCTTCATGTTTTGTTTTACTGTTATTATAATTTGCCTTTTTATATCTATAAATACTAAATCCATCTCCAAACCAACTGAAGGGGAATTGCCCCTAATCAGCAGAGGTGCAGTCGGGTGCTTAACCCCTTTGCTTTGCTGTTCTTACCCTTGCCTCCTTGAAGCTCCAGGTGCCACTTTGCTACCATAGCTGCTGCACAGATCCCTGACTTTCCTCAGGATCTCACACCCATCTCCCCCACAGAGCTGAGGGATATGGTCAGCAGTCCCTACCAGCTATCAGATAAGGCAAACCAACCTGCCTGTCTTTGTTGCTCTTCAGTGATATGCGCTGCCCGTGCTGGCCCAATGAACAGCATGAAAGGGAGACCAGACTCCAAAGAATTGTCAGCTTGTGGTTTCTAGGTAGAACTGGCCTTTCTGTTTTGTTTTAAAACACTATAACTTCTACTTGTGGGGACTTGTTGAGGTTTTGTTTCTTGAACTTGTGTTAGTTTCTTAATGTGTGCCAATGAGATATTTATTCTACAGTGTGTGTCATATCTAATAAGTTAACTGATTTCTTTCCTGTGTTTGTATACTTCAGTTAACTTAACTATTTTAAACTTTGAGAGTATCAAAATTAGTATTTAGGATGTGTACTTTTTTCAAAAAAAAAAAAAAATACTTCTACTGCACTTTAACCAATAGTTACTACATCTCATACACTGGCAAGGAAAAATATAATTAGCTGGCATATTTATAGAGTGGATAAGTTTTCATCATCATTGATATAAAGGCATTTCTAAGATTAAACACTGGATTTGAGATTTTTTTATCAGAAAAATGAGATTTTACCGAGGTGTTTAAATTTAGGGGGAAAAGAGTGCCTCAATTTAATTAATTGCTTTCTGCAAACACAATTTTAGGTTCAGATAACCTAATTCAGGTTGCAGCTGCAATATCCACTGGGGGACAGAGGAAAGTGCATGTGTGAACTGTTAAGACATATCATGTAATAATCCTAGGGGATTCATAGAACTAAACCTGCCTTCAAAGAAAGCTTCATTAAATGAAAAGATGTGGATTCCTTCCAGACTAATGTGGTTTGATCACACCAGACCGCCTGAAACAGAGTACAAGCTGATCCTACATTCCAAACAGCTGGACAAAACAGCCCTACAGACTACAGCTAGGATATCTGAATCTTCTTCGAATCCCCCAAGACAGCGCCCCTTACCAGCAGGAAGTAGTTTGGAAAGAACGACGCCCAAATTCCCAAATATTGTGTATAAATGTTTGTTTTCATTTAATTGGACTTTGTTATATAAAATTAAATAAAAAATACTCTATATGCAAAAAAAAAAAAAAAAAAAAAAAAAAAAAAGAAAGCTTCATTTATACATTCAAACTCTTTCCCATAGCCCAGGAGTACTTGATCAGAACAGAAGTTAAAAAGGAAGATATAATAATGCATATGGTAATCATTTTAGAGCTGATAACAACCAAACAATAGCCTGCTGAGCAAGCATAGTTTTGCCAGCATATGCTTGGCTTTTGGAGATTAACAATTTAGAAGGCAGGAAAGTATAAAAGTTTCTTGGGCATCACCTGTTCTTTTTAAATGTCAATACCAACAAGAATCCACCTACATTCTTGTGTGTAATGTCTGCTGGCCTTGAAATGAGGTAAACAATGTAAATGTGTCTATAAACTTGCTTTTGACGGTGTAGTTTGTTACACTGATTTTTCCACCTCTATCGCTAGCACTGGTGAATGATGGTTTCGTGTAGAAAGGAGCCAAATTAGGGGCAAAGGAGGCAGGAAGTGGTACTGAATGCAACTTAGATATACAGAAAAGGGAATTCAAGAGTAAGATGAATCAACACGCATTTGGCAAGGGCTTGTTCCAAACTAATCTCGGTCTTTATCCGAAGTGCTCATTTATTCCAATCCAACTGCTGCCCTACTTTACTGAGGGGCTATCACAAATAGCTCCAAAACTAAGACAGATTACCTTCTAGAGTCACAATTTCAACTTTCCCAGTTTTAAAATGTATTCTTCATAATAAATGAACTTAAGACTACAACTCTAACTCACACCACCACCACCATGTAGTCAAAACATCTTTCTCACCAACATAACAATCTAGATATAACTGTCCTAATGGTCAGAGGACAGAAGGGAGCCGTGAAGTCATGTTCCAGCGCGCCTTCTCTCAGTTGTGTGCCCTTCTCTGCTACTGAAAGACACCAGTGCCATCTTTCTTGGGAACACATACCACTCCAGATTTCCTTAGCTTTTTACCTTTGTCACTTGGGCTTAAGATTTTACTAGCTATTTAGGATAAAGGTTGAAACCAAACAGCGACTTTCCTAAGTCCCATATTTATTAACTCTAAGCTAATACTAAGCAGAAAGGAAAAACATATCAGCTACTGTTTAAAAACATTTCAAGGATAGAGAACTTTCCTAACAGTCAGCCCTGAGTTCTGATGCTGGTACCATTTAAAAAGGGCGGAGGGCTGGAGAAATGGTTCAGTGCTTAAAAACACTCTAACAGAGGATCCAGATTCTATTCCTAGCACCCACATGGCAACTCAATCTGTCAGTAACTCCAGTTCCAGGCAATCTAATGCCCTCTTCTGAACTCCCCAGACACCAAGCACACTTGCAACAACACACAGGCAAACACATATACACATAAAATAAATCTTTTTTAAAAGAGATTTGAAATAAAAATTCTTAAGTATGTCTTTTCACTCCTGAGAAGGTATAAAGGCAACTTGAAAATGTATAAGGCATAGAGAGGGAAAGAGAACTGTAGAAAGGATCTACTGAATTCCAACTTCATATTTATAAATAGAAAGATTTTTAAACAGGCATTATCATGGTATCCAGAAGGGCACGTTGGTCAAAAACCCAAATTTCCTAGTTATAGAAACACTGCCTAGCATATATATATATATATATATATATATATATATATATGTTATATATATAGATGTTCAAATAAAATGGCCTCTATATAAATATCCATTGTTTTCATTTGTCTAAAATACTGTTAACTCCAAAACTGCACTTATAAATTTAAAATGTACTGCTACAAAGCAAAATTAACTATAAGAATCACTTATTAGTTATATGAAATAACAACATTGTGACTTACTCCCATTACAGTCAACTTTCTAGGTACCTTAGGTTCATTTGTTTGATACAAAAATTAAAGTCTTAATAATAAAGGTGAACATATAAAAGTCTGAATTATATCAGAAATTGTATCATTGTTATACTCTCCCACTTTTATGTTAAGTCCAGTGATGTGCAAAAACAGGGGAAGATTCTAAAATCAAAATCATCGATTAATTTGAGTACAGCCTGAATTATATAGTAAGACTTTTTCCTCAGAAACACAATCATGCACGCACACACACACAAACACACACACCAATTTCTTCTTAAGTTCTTTTTACTCTTCTTGCTTGTTCCAAATGTCTAATTGTTGGCACAGAACTAACCTCACATTAGTACAGAGGAACAGTGTACAATTTCACTGCCCCCTTTCCAAGAGTTGTGGTTTTTTATTTCTTTGGCTTTATTGAAAAATGTCTGAAAAAGTGAAAACTTTATCTGTCTATGTGCATATACACACCTGGAAGCTTAATGCATTTGAGCCTTTGACCCTGCTGGTATCCCGTTTGGGAATTTTGAATGGTGAGAAAGCAGGAATAACTTTCCCATGGAAATACTTCTTGGGATGTGATAAAGAACTGCTAAAATGAACAGCATCCTCTGATAGCAAGAGCTATCAGACTCAGTTTTTCTGCTTTTGAGAAGGGAAGACACTTATACCAGAAAAAGATAACCCAAAAAGTATATATACACTTTGTCAAAAAAAAGTGCACAGACTTATTGCATACATAAGATATTACAATTCATAATGTTACCATGTAAGCTAAGAAGTTCCCCAGTATGCTGTTTGGTGATTCAGAGAAGGTGCTAGAAGGTGGCCTTGGGGCTTTACTTTTTTTAAATGGGGTGTTGAAATGATACAGAAGTAAGGTGCTACATCATCTGCAAGCCCAGAATTGATTTTTTAAAGTTTATTGATCAGAACTCTGACTCTTTTCTAAAAGAGGAGCATCACTGATTGTGGTAATGGAGAAACATATACATATTCCAAACTACAGTATTTAAACACAAACTTAGTACAATGTCCTATGCCAGCACAAAGCTACTTTTTGTTGCTACTATTTTTTAATCTATCAGGGAAAGTTGTTAAAGCTCTATGGAAGATTCCTGTGACTTCACAAATGGCAATTTCTGTAGTAAATGAAAGAGCCTACTGCTTTTCATTATTAGTAGTACACATTTATTACATGAGGGGTTTCACTATTTTCTCTACATTTGTGTCACATACTTTGCTCATATTTCCCTTTTCTCTCTCCCTTCTTTTCTCTCTCCAGCCATTCTACTCGAATTCAGGGTTATGTTTTAAATTAGATCCCACATATAAAAGTAAACACATGCTACTTATCTGTAAGCCAGGCTTATTTTGCTTAACATGCATTTCCCTACCAATGATGTAAACTTTATTCATTATGGATGAGTAAAACTCCATTGTGCATACCCTATTTTCTTTATTCACCTGTTGACAGCTGACTACTCTGGATCCCTGTAATTAACTTCTACACGTCTGTACTATCCTGACACTTTTAACGAAGATTCCCTTACAACTCTAAATCACTTAATGGAGCCAAAAAAACAAAACAAAAAAACCTGAATTAGTAGTAAAAGCTGCCTACAGTGAAGGTACCCATTTGCAGTATACTTTAGTGGGCTTCAGGACTTAACATCATGGAACCTCTATTCTCACTACCTTATTTCATGCATGTATGCACTCAAACACATCAAACATAGATGTCATGTTCTCATTGGTACTTGAAAGATCAGATGAAAATGTGCCTTTTGGCAAGCAAATTAAACTAAGCTGGGAATTTGGTCTTTTCCAATGAACTTCATTCAGTATATTCCTAACTGCCTTCCAATCTAGAAGGCAATTTTTCAGTCTCGTAGAACCCTTAGAAGAGACCCTTGAAAAATAAGGCAGAAAGGGCACTTAAGATTTTCATGAGGGTTCTTAAAAGCAAGAGTAGAGAAACAAAAGCTTCCAAAGGACAGCCAAGTGTACCAAAGAACTACAAGTAAGAATAAATCATCCAATTGTTAGGATGATCAAATTGAGATAAATTGTTCAATTAAAAATATTGTTTCTGGGGCTGCAGAGATGGATCAATAGTTAAGAGCAATGCTGGATGAAAGTTCAGTTCCCAGCACTCACATCAGGAGGATCACAACAACATGCAACTACAGCTCCAAGGAATCCCAGCCTTCTTCTGGCTTCATTGCAGACACACACACACACACAAACACACACACACACACACACACACACACAGACAGACAGACAGACAGAGAGAGAGAGAGAGAGAGAGAGAGAGAGAGAGAGGTTTCTTATAGCTAGGGAAGTGGTTAATGTTGCATGAGCAAGAGCCTAAGTTTGATTCCCCCCAAAATACCATTTTAAGATGAAAATATTAACATCATCCTTTTCTCCAACAAAATCTAGAAATGTAACAATGTGTGAAAATTAGCTCTGAAAATTTCAGAAATCTCTTTCCAAAGAGTTAAAATTCAGAAACAAGTTTCTCATGTGGGATCACATGAGATCCCAGG